AGTCTTTCACAGTTCTTTGAAAGACCTGAGAAACCTGAGAGATGCATCTGCCCCCTCAGCTGGTCCAGCTGCTGTTCACCGAAGCCTCATCAGACATGGTCTCAGTGGAAGGGTGGCTGTCAAGAAGCCATTCTTAAGGAAGGGAGACAGGAAGAAAAGGTTTAGGTTTGCTAAATTACACAAGAACTGCACTGAAACTCAGTGACACTGGTCCGATGGAGTGAGTGCCATCTGTAAAACACAGCGGAGAATTATGGAACAAGGCAGCCAAGTTCTAGAGAAGAGCTTTGAATTTCTTTCAAGAAGCCTGGAAAACTATTCCTGAAGATAGTGTGGTGGAATTTCAGCATTGCTCGTCTAAGAGAAATTGGGCTATGTTTGTTGTTGTTGTTATTTTTTTTAAAGAAAAGGTAATCACACCAAATATTCACTTCCAAAATGAATAGAATTTACCTTATATTCTGTAGGATTTTATTGCACTCATGTCAATAAATCACTGCATCTCTTTCCAATTTTTCCCAGCAAATAAAAACAACTGAGACCTTTGCACACCACTGTGTATGCATTTTAGCAGAAACAGGTCAAAATTAGAGTATCTGGGTCGACTTTCAGGTGTTGTTTTGTTAATGTTGATGTTTCTGTGTGTCATAATTAGCCTCATCAAAGAGAGGTGGAGTAAAGATTTTCAAAGATCTCATTGGCTTTGAGTACTGATTTGTAAAAAAAAAAGTTTGTTTTTTTTGTTTTTGTTTTTTTTTTACATGAGATTGAATTCAGTCATGGGCATCATTAACAAAAAGCAAAGTTTATAACTGTTTGAAATGAAAGTCGTTGCTCACAGTATTTCAGTAACCTTACTGTAACATGATTTACAGTAAGGGTGCAGTAATTAGTGTTGCCAGTAAGTTGTTGACAGGATTTTCCCCTTTTTACTGTGAGACCAGATGAAAGATTGATGTGCTTCACACATGGCGATGCAGCCTGCCTCGTTTCTTTGTGGGCAGCTAAAAGTTTAGAGTTCACAGCTTGGTTGAGACAAAGATTTGAGATTAATGCAGCTCACTTGTAATCTACAGGTTGCTGGTTAGAGTCCCTGTTCAGATCTCTCTGAGATGACTGTTTTTGTACATGATCTCTGACAAGACCAAACTACTCATGAATAAACTCATATTTAAAATCTCTCCTTTGTTCCAGCACACAGCAGTCACTGCGGGAGTCAATATTGGCACATGTAGGGACAGATTTACCAAGCTGGAAAAATTCACTTGTGGCAGTGGACATCTTGCCAACCATATACAGTTAGTACATACAATGTAAGAGCAGGTTTGAACAATGTGTTTGTGAGGCACTTCAGATCAATGAGAAGAATCTGAAGGAGGATCAATACGTCACACGTGTAAGGCAAAGTATTCTGGTATTGTTTGAGACTGTGGGTGAATGCGAGTGAGCTCTGTGTGACCCTGTGTGAAACCTGTGTTACATCTCTGAATGTATGGCATTTTGTTTTTCCAGCGGGCTGTGTTAGAAACGTTTGTTTAAAAAAAAATTCGGGGCAGACTGTGGGCTGCTCACCTGATCATACCTTAACAAGCAGTAGGCTTTCTTATGTTTTCTGTGCTGCCCCCACCCACCCACAGTTTGAACACAACCAAATATTTTTCCTCTCTTGAGTGGAAGGATACCTATGTAAACAGAAACGATAAAATCTATATATAGGCTAGAGTACTTCCTTTGTCTATAAATATAATGGAAAATCATTTGCTGTGATTTTTAGTACAACAGAGAGTTATTATAAATATCCAGATATTCTTTGTATTCTTAAATAAAACTTAAAACCTGAAACAGACTT